ATGTAATTTCTGAACGAGTCGAATAATTGAGTTATATCATCGACAATTAAATAATTTGATAGGTTAATTATTATTGTTATGTATTACGAGATTTAAATAATTTTTTTTAATTAAAAAGAACTTCAAATAGGATTGTTTTTTTAAATAATTTGTGAACATAAACATCTCTGCTAGACGTTAAATTAAATAAACAATAATAAATAATGAAAAGCTCAATTTTATTCCATTTAAAAATTGACATTATTTTGAAAGATATTTTGGTAGGGTAAAAAAGTAAATATAAGGACGTCACAAAATTAACCTTGGCTATTGATTTCTTCCATTCTTCTGGAAGCCTCTGCCTATTTATTCTATTGCTATTCAAAAAGTTGCCAACTTTGAAAATGGTAAGAAAGTTCAGACTCATTGTTCCTCTATTAAAAAAAAATAAAATAAATTTACGATATAAAAATGACCAAAATACCCTTAGACTGTCTATCCACGTCCATTTGAATTATGATTGTCATTGTCTACTGCAACATCCACCACAAATGGCGATCGAAATTCACCATTGCTGCCTACCAATCCCCAGCCATTATCAACCACCGACTATCGTTGTGAGGTCCCACATCAGTTGGAGAGAACAACAAAACATTTTTTTTTATAAGAGTGTGAAAACCTCTTTTTGATAAACACGTTTTAAAACTGTAAGACTGATAACGATATATAACGGACCAAAACAGATAATATCTACTAACGATGAGTTTGAGCTACTGTTACAATCTTCCCAACTACGACTACTGTCAAACCACCGCTACAACCATCACTTACTAGAGACTACTGACTTCATCCTATAGTCCATAATAAATCATAATTTTTTAAATATAATTTTAAGCTTATTCATTTGCAGGGTTAATTAATAATCGAGTTTTAGATTGATTTATAATGTTAATATAAAACAAGTCCAACAAATCAAATAAATCCCTAAGTACTAAAATAACAATAATAAAAATAAAAATTTAGGAAAAAAAAAGGAATAAAATGGATAAAAGTGTCAAAATAATTCAAAAGGTGGGTGGAAAAATGGTAAATTGCATTTAATAAGAGGAGAAATTCTGAGCATAAATTTCCAATTACGGCAATGAATCAAAAATATTGGGAAATGTAAAAATGGTTGGACACGCAACTCAGCCTTCGCCAAACTTCCCATCTTCAAACGTGCCTCTGCATCTAGAAACGTCTATAATCTTTTACCACGTCTTCATTGCATTTTTTACCGTGGGGTAAATTTATTAAAAAAATAACTCTTCTACACTTTTCCGTATATTATAAAATTGATATTATTTCAAATACAATAATTATTAAATTCAAAATAACAATAATAATAATAATAATATATATTAATCCAACTTAAAAGGTTATTCAAATTTTTTTATTTTTTAAATTAGTGAGTTTACTAATTTATTTATTTTTAATTTTTTTTCGTGAGATCTGACATCGATTAGAGAGGGAAACGAAACATTTTTTTTATAAGAGTGTATAAATTTCTTTCTAGTAGACGCGTTTTTAAAAACTTTGAAAGAAAACTTAAAAGACAAGTCTAAAGATGACAATATCGGCTAGTAGTGGACTTGGGTTGTTACAAGTAGTATTAGACATCGAGCGATGTGCCAGCGAGGACGTTTGGTCACGAAAGAGAGTGGATTGTGAGATCCCAAATCGATTTGAGAGGGAAACGAGTGTTAGCGAGAACACTGGGCCCTGAAGAGGGTGGACTATGAGATCCCACGTCGATTTCGTAAAAAGAATATTATTTTCATTTAAATTATTTTTTTTATAATTACAGCTCATTCATATTATGGGAAATTAAAAATAAACCAATAATTGAAGGAGAAGGAATAGAAAATACCTCCAAAATGAAGTAAATGATTAATAATATTCTCATATTCGTTTCGTATAAATATTATGAATTAAATCTCTCTCTTTCATTGGTTTCTGTTTTGCGGACGAGATGGGCCCAATTCCCTCATAAGCCCAAATGTACCACGGACTGTTTGGGCCTTTGAAGCAGCAAATACAGGCCCAATATCATTTCATTTGGGCCTACCAAAGTCCATATAAAGAAATCTCAAGGATTTTTCCACAATTTTTTAATAAATAATTTAAAAAAATAGTGTTACTGATTGTCTTTTTTATTATGTTTATAATTTTAAAAAATTAATTTCTAACTATAAATTTATTTTAATATATTTCACTCTTCCGTCTTCATTTACATATATTCTCCCTTGCAAATCTCTCTCAATTAGTATATGAAAATGATCATATTTAAAATAAATACAAATAAAAAATATTATTTTTTACAATTAATTATGAAAATACTCATAAAACTTTTAAAATTTTAAATATATATATATATATATATATATTTTATAATTTTAAACTTTTAATAGTATTAAACATTAGAGCTTTCATTAATATCTTTCAATTTTTTTTAAACAATTGTACTGTTAATACTATATTTAAAAAAATATCCACAAATTTTTATTAATATCGAGTATTTTTTGAAACATTATACTAATTATAAAATTATTTTTAAATTTTTTAAAAAAGTTTGAGGGTATTTTTGAAAATTTTAAACTACTTTAAAGAAATTAAAAAAAAATAATGAAACTTTCGAAAATTCATGGTATTTTCTGAACTAAACTATTTTCAATAGAGTATTAATAATTTTTATCTAAAATTAGAGTGTTTTTGAATTTTTTAAAGTTTAAAGTTTTTTTAGTCGAAAGATATTATTGAAAATTTTGAACGTCGAGAGATATTTGTTTAAATAAATTAAAAAATTCAATCTTATTTTTATTAATTTAGTCGGTAATTATTAATAAATATAATATTACTAAAAATGCTCCTCCCAAAGAATTTATATTTTTCATTTTAATTTTTTTTTTTAAAGAAAATGGTTTTCTCTTAATGCTTCTAGATTCACTTTAATAATATGGATAGGATATAATAAAATCTCTTATCCATTGAATCACATACAAATAAAGAATTTTCCAATTATTTAAATAAAAAAAATTCAGAAAATAATTTATCAAGGTTTCGAACGTGAATACCACGAAAATATCAAATATTTCAATAATACTCTTAAACTTTTACTAATAAAAATATACCTTTAAACTTAAAAATAAAAAAAAAAATACTCTTCTGGTTGATTATGAATAGAAACCACTTACACTTTGTTTAAAAAACATTGATTTTAATGAAAATTTTTAAAATTTAAGAATATTTTATATTAAAGGGTTACGAGTATTTTTTAAATAAGGTATTAATCAAGATAAAAAGGATATTTTTTTTTAATTATTCTTGAAAATATAAGAGTATTTTTTAGATTTTTTTTTTATAAATTTAGGTAATTTGTTGGCTAGATTCTGTACGGAATGTGAGCAGAAAAGCAGTGGCCGTGAATGAAGGTAATAACAAATGATTGGTACACCAAATGCCTTATCCAATCTATTATCACCCACTTATTTTTCTTCACTTTTCTTATTGGCGGTACAAATTTTCTCTCTCTTTTTCTCTCCATCCAAACAGGAAAAAGAACAGCAGCACCACTCAACTCAGCTGCTTTAACTAAGCAAAGCAAACAAACACGGAGATTTGGGTTGAGTTTCGTAGTTCGGTGTTTAGCTTTCATATCATTTGTAACCTCTCAAACTCTCCGCTAACAGAAATTATTCTTTTTGATACCATTTACCTTTCAGGCTTCCTCACAAGACTTTAAAACGCGTTTGTTAGGGAAAAGTTTCCACATTCTTACAATGAATGTTTCGTTTCCCTCTCCAACCGATGTAGGATCTCACAATCCATCCCCTTGGGCACCCAACGTTCTCGTCGGCACACCACCCGGTGTCTGGCTCTGATACCATTTGTAACAGTCAAAACCCACCACTCATCTTTGGGATTTCGTTACAGACTTCCTCTCAAAGTTTTTAAAACACGTATGTTAGGGAGAAGTTTCCACACCCTTATAAAAAATGTTTCGTTCTCCTCTACAACTAGTGTGAGATCTCATAATCCACCCCTTTAAGGGCCAACGTCTACGTTCGCACACTACCCAATGTCCAGGTTTGATACCATTTATAACAACTCAAACCTACCACTAATAGATATTGTCATCTTTAGGCTTTCCCTCAAAAGTTTTTAAATCACGTCTGTTAGGAAAAAGTTTCCACACTCTTCTAAGAAATGCTTCGTTCCCCACTCCAACCAATGCACAACAAGTTTAGGGAAAACTACAACATACGAGTTTAACCTCTACAACAAATACAGGACACGTTTCCCCTCTCCAACAAACATTTAACTAAGCAAAGACAAAGATCTAGGTCGAGTTCAGCAACGTTCTCTCTCGTTATCTCTCCATACGAACAATAAGTCCTTAAAAAACAACCAAAGACAAGAACCGGAGTCGAGTTTAGCAAGTCAAATCCACAATTAACAACCAAAACCAAACCAAACCAAAGCCAATGATTGAGAAACACGAAGCTTGAAATCCATGGAATGTCACTAAATTATCACTCAAAGTGGTTGGTCCTTTTCTTTTCTAACAAGTGGGGGCATGAATGGCCATGAAACAATAAAACATACCATCAACCAAGTTGGCAAAAGATAGGACTAACTTTGTTAAAAAAACAAGTCCCTTTCAAACTCCCAACAATCAACAAAAAGATAGGGATAAGATGTTAAAGCTCTCTATATAGAGCTGTCAATATGCTATACCCATTTATTGAATGGTCCTTCTTTGTTCATCTAAGTCCAAATCTCTTGTGGGACCCATTTCATCATTCTATCCCCCACCCACCCTTAAACTTTAGGTCACCCTACCCTATAATCGCGTTCGTATCAGGAGAATAGTTGCAGAAAAGACACGAACTCAAAGATTCAAAGCTAACTTATTTTGAATTCATAGATAATGTAAGAGATATTACATAAACAGGAGCTTAAGGCTGCTTTTAAACTCGATATTTCGGTAGAACAAACTAGATGAACTTATTTTTCGTAGCGGTTTTTTCGACAAAAAAATTTGTTAAATACCTTGAATTCATATAAGCTGTGTTCTTGGAGGCAAGGAGGCAAGAATCTGTATCAGATATACATGGAGAACAACAATCTGGGAATGATGCTCTGTTATAGACTGAGGGAGGAACCTTAGCTAACTGATAAACATGGATAATTTTCGGTTGTCAACCTGTTAACATCAGCAAAAGAAAAGAGTGTTAACGATAGCTACGTGACCGAGAGACACTTGCGGTATCGGATTCAAAAAGAGGAATGTAGTTTTAATTCCATTGGCCACCGTGCATTTACACTCGAGATTACGACTTGTAAAGAGAGCCACTAGAACGAATGGGGCGAATTGGTTGACAACAAGGTGAAGGGTTTTTGAAGGGTAAGGATTTTGATGACTTGGTACCCTAAATTATGTCGAAACCGACACATATGAACATTGATTATGGGAAAAGAAGTCGTTCAAGTTGGGTCATGTAACAGCCTAAGCCCACCGCTAGCCGATATTGTCCTCTTTGTTGGGCTTTCCCTTTTAGGGTTCCCCCTGAGGTTTTTAAAACACGTCTGCTAAAAATAGGTTTCCACACCCTTATAAAGAATGCTTCGTTTTCCTCACTAACTGATGTGTGATCTCACAATCCACCCCCTTTAAGGCCCAGCGCTAGCAGATATTGTCTTCTTTGTTGGGCCTTTCCTTTTGAGGTTCCGATTTTTAAAACGCGTCTGCTAAAGATAGGTTTCCACACCCTTATAAAGAATCCTTCGTTTTCCTCACTAACTGATGTGTGATCTCACAATCTACCCTCCTTCAGGGCCCACCACTAGCAGATATTGTTCTCTTTAGGTTTTCCCTTCCGGGCTTTCTCTCAAGGTTTTTAAAACGCGTCTGCTAGAGAGAGGTTTTAAAACCCTTATAAAGAATGCTTCGTTCTTCTCCCCAACCGACGTGAGATCTCCACTTAGTTAATGATACAATAAGAATGATTAGTAAGACTTACCCAAAGTTCCATTTACAATATCATTGGCTATAGATCCCCCAAAAGTAGGTCCACTAGCAGGGCCAGTTGCTGCTGGCGTTTGACTTTGCAAGACTGTTGAGGGACAAAATCTGAAGACATTTATGGGCTGCAAAACAAAACCAGACATGATTAATCTTAATTGTTACAATTTTTGAACAAAACATCCAACAGACAAACTCTAAACACAATCCAATATCTAACCTGTGAGCTAGGTTGCATATGATGGAAGCCCATTAGACGAGCATACTGCTCTTGCAAAGCGGGATTCGACATCTGATTTTGATAATTCACGGGGTTGAAAAGTTGAGGTTGGCATATCGTCGGTTGGTTTGGAGTCGGAGTCGCTGAAACCGATTGATCGACAGCCGAGACCCGAGGTAATTGCATTGAGTTGTGAATTGAAGGCATTGAAGGCATTGAAGGTTGAGCCATTCCCATGCCCATAGCCATTCGAGACATGTAATGTTGAACACCGGGAAACATCATTGGCGCCATCCCGTTTCCCATCCACATAACCTATAGAACATTGAGCAATTAAAAAAACTGTAACAGCTCAAACCCACTGCTAGTAGATATTGTCTTTTCTGAGCTTTCCCTTTTAGATTTTCCCTCAAGGTTTTAAAACACGTCCACTAGGGAAAAGTTTCCACACCCTTATAAGGAATGCTTTGTTTTTCGTTCCCTCCTCCAACTGATGTGGGATCTCACAATCCACCCGGTGTCTAGCTCTGATACCAATTGTAATAGATCAAGTCCACCGCTAGCAGATATTGTCCTCTCTAGGCTTTCCCTTTCGGGTTTCCCCTCAAGGTTTTAAAACGCGTCCACTAGGGAAACGTTTCCACACTCTTATAAAGGAATGCTTCGTTCCTCTCTCCAACCGAGGTGGGATCTCACAAAAACGCAAAAATCAGTAGATTTTGTGGAATTCGTAGCTAAACTCGTACCTGTAGTTGTAATTGAAGTGACTTCAAATATTCAATAGCTTCATCTAACATTGAAGCTTTGTCGGTCTGTGACAAAGAACAAAAGATTCATGAAAACTGAAAATTTTGAAGTCAACCAAGTTGACTTAATATGTTCCAATCATTGTTGGTTACCTTATTACAATGTGGTATGAGTTCTTGCAGTGCTTTCATCTTTTCATTTATCCTTTCTCTTCTTCTCTGCACTAAAACTAAGCTCTTAACATGAAGTTCATAATAGAAAAAAGATTGATAAATGAGGAACGGTCGATATCCTACCCTTTCCGAAAGGTTATGTACTTCAGCAGCACGAGTCCTGCGCGGAAATCCTGACCGTGGAGCTGCCTTGTTTCCCTCAGCAGATTCTAGTTCAGCAGTCTGCAGAAAAGCTCGAACCGTGATGTTCATAACTCGAAACTATAACTAATCGACTTCATGATCGAAAAAATGCTTAATAGCTTTACCTCGCTTTGGCACTCGGATTCTTCCCCGTCTCGACCTTTTCTTTTGTTGCCATTACCTCCATTAGATTGTCCAATTGTTCTACTTCTATCCATACTACTTCCCGAACCGCCTGAGGACGAAGTAGCGGTTGGATCCATGGTCTCAGTTTTCCCCCTCTCACCTTGTGCAGCCATCTTTTTGTTAGAGAGATCAACAGATAAGCCAGCATTCCCGACGCCACTCGTCGAAACTCGGCTCACATTTGGTTCAGGATTAGGAACTTGGTTGCTTCCACAGTGGCTCGAACCAACCGTCGTTGCTGAACAATCTTTTCCCTCTCCATGTATCAAGTTTCCAGCCTCTCTCCCTCCATTTGATGATCCCAAATCACCCCTCACTGCCACAGGAACTCGAGAAAAGTTCACCATTTTTCCTAAATCTCCCAAATCCTTCGTTTGTCGTATCGAATCCGAACACTGATATCTCGGAGGAGGCATCGTGTTCGTAGGAAGCTCAGCAAGAACTGCAGGAGGCTTAGAGTTCTGAGTAGTAGCAGCAGCAGCATCAAAGGCACCAAATCTAGTTTGTGGCAATTCGGAGAAGAACTCCGAACAAAATTCCTTGTCGAACGAATCGTCGTTGAGCGGATCATGAATCCACGAAACCGTCTCATCATCTTGAATCAAAGTGCTTGAAATTCCAGAAGAAATATTAGTCCTATCAAGTGGTTGACTCTGTTTCTGAATAAGGCTTGGCTTTCTAGCCTTTTGGCTTTGTAAGACCACTTGCCCATTTCTCCATAACAGCTCCACAAGATCATCATGTTCATGTCTGTAAAATCCGCCATTAAAGCTTAAAAACCATGCTTGAAAATGCACCAAACATTCGAAAACAACAAGAAAAAAAGGGCTAACCCCATTGATTTCTTATGGCTAGCTGAAGGAAGATCACCCTCAAAGTTCCAATCAGGAAAGCAATAATTCATGGCCGCCGCCGCTTTGACACAAAAAAGCTCTGTCAAAATGGAAGAACAAGGCAAAAAAAGCCCTTAAAATCTCAAATTAGAACACAAAATTCAATACTTAGAGGCTTCCAAAGAAGAAAACAAGAAACACCCACAAATTATTCCACAAAACGCACAAAATCTAGCATAGAAATTGACCAAGAAATGACATAATTAATGAAGATTAAGCCAAAGAATGAGAAGAAAGTCCAAGTAAACCAGTAAATAATGCTCATAATTGAGTATCTAAACAAAGAAATGATTAGAAAACGCCATAATCAAGCCTTTCAAACAGAGAAAAGGAAAGAAAATACCCAAAACCCAATACCCATAAGCAAAGAACACGAAGAACACGAAGAACAGAGTAAAAAACCTGAAGAAATCCGAGTTTGAATCGAGAGAAAGCTGGAAAATGGAAGTGACCCTGTTCGTGATTTCTCTGTGAAAGGAGAAAACTCCACAGCAAATGCGATGGAGCGAGTGAGAAATGGACCAAAAGGCATTTAAAACCAGTGGTGAGGGAAAAGGACGTCACACACACAGAGGTCAGAGCAAAGATTCGGTACTATAAGGAATAGAGGTGAGGTAGAAGGGGAGGACACGTGGCGAAGAGGCAAGGCGTCTGTGATTTTCTTGTAGGACCAACGGGGGAGGTTGAAGATCAATTTCCATGGAGGGTGTGTTTTATTATCTCTCTCAATGATGAGAGGGAGAGGAGACAAATGTGGTCGGAAGAACAGTAATGACAACTCACCTCCTGATTTTGCCTATCCCAAAAGTTATGTTATCTTTCAGGTTAAAGCTATAGATTTTGTCCTTCAATTATTATTATTAATATTATTTATTTTGGTATGTTTTTTATTTTAATTATTTAATCAATCCTAAATTTGTTATTTTGTGTTTATTAATTATTTAATTTTATAATTATTATATAGTTATTTAAACTTTCAATTCTCTCTATAATATATTTTTAAAATTAATGATCCTAAGTTTAAAGATTTTATATTTTGGAAGAAAATATTTGATTTTTTTATTAAATTCGAAAAATAAAAAATAATTTTTTTATATAAATATTTGAATTTTAGTCCATTTTTTATGAAAAAAATATGTTCCTAAAAACTAATTATTTTACTTTTTTTAAAATTTGGATTGGATTCTATTGTTCTTCAATTATTATTATTATTTATTTTGGTGTGTTTTTTAAAAACATTTTATGAATCCTAAATTTGTTATTTTGTGTTTATTAATTATTTAATTTTATAATTATTAAAAAATTTAAATTATTTTGTTTTTCAAAATTGTAAGAAAATATTTGATTTTTTTTTATTAAATTGCATATATATATATATATATATAATTTTTTTTAGTAATACATTATTTGAGAATCATTTAAAACGGTAGACTCCACCGACACCGACCACAAATTAATGAATCAAAATTACCATGTTTTTCATTGAAAAAATTTGGACTTATCACCAAATCTATTAAGTCTCGATTTAAATTTTTAAATTTGTATTTATCTTATAACAGCTCAAACTCACTACTAATAAATAATATAAGAGCTAGACACTGAACGGTGTGTCAACAAAAACGTTGAATTTTCTAGGAGAGTAGATTGCGAAATCTCACGTCAGTTGAAGAGTGGAACAAAATATTCTTTCTAAGGGCAGAGAAACCTCTACCCAGTAGACACGTTTATGAGACCGATGACAATATGTAACAAGTCAAAGCGGACAATATTTATTAGCAATGAGCTTGAATGATTACAATTTTATTTTGAATTATGAACTTGCTACCAACGTAATAATATAAACAGGTTCTCATGTCATTTATGTCCGAGAGAAATTAATATTTTAAAATTTAAAGACGAATATGAAATAATTTATAGCTTCTCAAAGGGTAAACCAATAACAGGTTTGATTTGGGAAGCCAAGGAGCGAAGTTCATTGATTTCTTCATTGGATATTCTCCAACCCAACGCACCTGCAAGTTCAATAGCTTGTTCTCCATTTTTGGCTCCCGGGATGGGCACCACGTTGTCTTGTGCTATTAGCCAATTAAGCGCTACCTGATCCGAGCCAAGTAAGCCAACTTTCAGCCTTCTTATTGAAAACCTATAAGTTTTACGTAGAGAAGAAGAAATCAACTAGCTACCTGTGTGGATGTTTTGTTGTAGTTTTGTCCTATGTCCCGGATTCGGTTTAGTAGCGGTTCGAGCTGGACGTTAAACAAATACTTTAGAAATGAATGAAACATGTTTTATAGGTACGTTCAAAGTTTCGAGTCTCTTGACCTTTGTTAAGAATTGTGGAGTGTAGATTTGACCTCGGAGACCGGTTGGAGGATTTGTAGGAGTGTACTTTCCCGAGAGAACGCCTGCATTGTAACCGTAGTTAAAATAATAATATTATCGTTATTGAGGGCACTCCCTCCAGCTACGGCTCGGCTTAATTACATGACATGATACTCATTTCCTCCACAAAGATTGGAGGAACACAAGGTGTTGTGTATGACATTAATGCATATGAACGAGAATTTTATTAAACTGTCTCGTTTTGCTACTAAACTTATGGATTCCGAAGTTTAGAGAGCAGAACGATCCATCATGGGTCTAAGAGAGAAAATGTAAAACACGATAGCAGCTCTAGCTCCATCAAATCACAAAACGACCCACTTATTTAAGAGTAAAATGACAAATCGTTACGGTTGATATCAAATCAGCTCAAAGCAAAAGCAATGAGATATTTGAATAGACTTACCTTGTCCAATAGGCGAATAAGCAATTAAGGTGATTCCAAGTTCATCACAAGCAGCCGTCACACCGTTCTCTTCTGGTATTCTGTATATAAGGCTATAATTCACTTGGTTTGAAGCCAGTGGAATACCTCTTTTCTTCAGTTTCTCATGAGCTTCTCGAAGTCGCTTTTCTAGATTGCGAATTTACCAGAATAAGAGTGATCGCGAATAAATTAAATAATGGTTCATATTTTTTTTAATTGAAATAATCATTATTAAAATTAATTAATTATTTAATAAAAATAAAATAATAAGTTTATTTATTTATTTTCAAACCTACAAACTCAATTTTCATATATTTTTTATTTTAAATAATTAAAATTTATTTTTAAGAGTAAAAATAATCATATTAAAAAGAACTATAATAAATAATCGTAAATTATTTTTTAAAATTAATTATCAACTCCAGTTAGTTAGTTTTAACTTAATCTAACGATAAATGTTTTATTTATTTAAATACAACTCAATTCAAATAAGTTGATAAAAATAGTCGAGGGTAATATAGGTATGGTCGTTAGATTCATAATTTTAAAACACGTCTATTAGTGAGAGGTTTCGTTCCCCTCTTTAACCGAGGTGGGATCTCACGATCCATCTCTTTAGGGGTCAGCGTCCTCATTGTCACACCGCTTAGTAACTGACTCTGATATCATTTGTAACAATTCAAGCCCACCGCTAGTAAATATCATCCGTTCTGGCTCGATACGTACCTTCATCAGTCTTACGATTTTAAAACGCGTCTACTAGAGGGAGAGGTTTCCACACCCTTACAAGGAATGTTTCATTCGCCTCTCTACGCGACGTGGGATCTCACGATCCACTCTTTGGAGGCCAGCGTTCTCGCTGGCACACCATCTGGTGACTGGCTCTGATACCATTTATAAACGGTCCAAGCCCAAGCCCATTGCTAGTAGATATTGTCCGCTTTGACCTGTTACGTATCGTCATCAGCCTCACGATTATAAAACGCGTCTACTAGGGAGAGGTTTCCATACCCTTATAAGGAATGTTTCGTTCCTCTCTACAACCGATATAGGAACTCACAATCGAGCTCCTCGAGTAACCAGGTATATTTTGACACGACCCAACAGTAATACTAGAACATACCGCTGTAATTTGAAACACCAACAGCCTTCACAAGTCCCAGCTCAACAGCATCTCCAAGACCATCAATATACCCTTTAAAAGCAATTGTTAATGAACTAAGCTTATTCTTTATAGAGAAAATTCAAATTCAAGGTTGGGGAGTGAAGAACAACCTTCATTTCCCCATATTCCAGGCCTGAGAAACAAAGCCAAAACCAGCCAATATAATGAGTCAAAAGCTATATATGTAGTAAAGAGAAGCTGCTTGGAAGAGTCAACAGGCACTGACCAATGAAGTTGATACAGGTCGACCGACGCAAGGCCGAGGCGAGCGAGGGAGTCCTTAAGGACACATATCACACTTCGACGACCTAGCCTCCATGGCAATGCTGCAAATTTTGTAGCCACTGTGACATCAACTCCGGGATCCTTTGCCTTCTTTTCTTTGATGAATCTGTTAGGTTGGACGTAAAGACAGTTATTGCAACAGTCAGATGTCACCGCTAGCAGATATTGTCCGCTTTAACCCATTACGTATAGCAGTCAGTCTCCCGATTTTAAAACGCACGTCTATTAGAGAGAGGTTTTTACACCTTTATAAATAATGTTTCGTTCCCCCCTCTCCAATCAATGTGAGATCTCACAGTTATCAAATAAAAACGTCGTAAAAGAAACACGAGAAACAAAAACGACGTAAAAGAGACACGAGAAACAAGAAACAAAAACGCTACAAACGAGGATTGAGAAACGAGATATAAAAACGTCGTAAAAGAGACACGAGAAACAAAAACAAAAACGTCGTTTAAAAGGGTACCTTCCTAAAAGAGTTTCTGATTCTACAGCACCTAAAGTATACTGCAAGGAAGGTTGTTAGATTCAGTTAGCAAAGGTCATTTTTGGAACATAAAAATAATAAGTGAAACTAAGAGGGAAATATCCGACTGAGGCGCCATAGATTTCAGCAGTGTCAAAGAAGGTAACGCCATGGTCAACACTGGCGTTGAAGGCAGCTTTAGTAGCCTTCAGCTTCCTATCTGAAACAAAAAAATCTCAAACCACGTCAATCCGTGCATAGCTCGATAAATAAGACTATGACTTTGAGTATCATTTTAAAAGGTCGATGGTTCGATTATTCCACTTCAACAATTATTAAACAAAAAAAAAAAACAAATTAAAAAAATTAAGTGAAATATATATTTTAGTTTATACGTTTGTTATTTATTTTAAAATATTCAATTTAGTTCGTATGATTTTAAATATTTCATTTTAATTCTAATAAGTCATTAATAAATTATATTTTATCGACTTAAACATTTATTTTATATATTATTATTATTATTATTTTTGGTTATATATTGTTTTACCATAAACTATAATACAATCAACTAACCCAATTACTCAAATAAAAAAAATACACAAAAAAAGTTTAAATCATAATGATTAAATTAAATTGAAAAAAAAACGAAAATTTTTAAAATTATACGTAATTTAACCAGAATTGAAAGTTTTTTACCATAGTTACTAAGTTGAAAAGGTAAATAAACACTAAGATTGACGGTAATTTTGAGATAGTACTTGATATATTATCTATTAATTAACGACTAAAATTACATATATTTACTCCGATCTCAAAAGGGTTAATTCCGATTTTTTTTTTTTTTTTTAACCTAATTTGAGAGTGATTTGATAAACTTACCGTCCCAATCAAGGCTGTTCCAATAGATGTTGTCTCCCCAAGACCAAGCTCCAATACCAAGCCTGGTTACCTTCAGTTCAGAACCGCCCAACTTCACTTTCTCTTCCGCCGAAGCAGCCACCACCACGGCGGTCACTCTGTAAATTCTACGGCCGTTTATCGGAGGAATTGAAAAGAAACGGCCGGAATTTAACGGCACCGCCATGGCTACGGCACCCCAAAGATTAAAAGAAGAAGGAATTTCTTATTGTTTTCGATTTTTGTTTCTGAAGGAGAATGGTTGAGAATTCAAGCTTTCATGTGTGGTACTAATGAAAATACGTGGTATTAATTGTTTGGTCATTTTCTTTTAAATTATATTTAGAAATAAATTTATTTTATTTTATTTTTTTCTTCTGTCCAAAAAAGAAACTTACAAGAGTGTTTACCGTTAGATGAAAACACGACTCTCCACACCACAATGGTATGATATTGTCCACTTTGAGAGCTCACTTTGAGCGTAAGCTCCATTTGCTTTGGGTTTCCCCAAAATGCCTCATACCAATGGAGTTAGTATTCTCACTTATAAACCCAGGATCATTCCCTAAATTAGCCGATGTGAGACTCCCGTAAACGCATTTTTCTCTATTCCCCCACATATTGAAATGTTGGACACATACGATAGATACCTCTACCTCCATCGACACGTATGTGTTATACGTGATCATCGTACAAGCGAGAAGAACAAAACAAATCAATATTTCATACCTACCAGACCGGTTAGACGAGGGTTTTATTCGTCTCAACGTCTCACTCTGGAAAGCACCAGTGTTGTTTATAATAAAAGACGGATCAATGAGATTGTGCATCGAGTACCGTAAGCTAAACAAGGTGACGATGAAGAACAAGTACTCCTTCCCTAACATATTCTCATTGAATAACATAAAACGTCAAGTTGAAAACAAAAAAGTCAATGTTTCAATAACGTCCTAGCTTAATTTATAAACCACACGACATTGACGCAAAGCTACGTAGAAGCTATTTGTTTGACTAAATTTAGAGCAAATGGAACTCCACGATGATAATACGTCGTTTCTATTACGTCATTAAATATAGCTTAGAAAAAGAGATGGAACATATACTTCATAAAAATATGAAATGGATTTAGACAGAAGCATCACTCAAAAGCATATTCAATTAGAAGCCAACAATGAAGTCAACTATGACATAAAAACAGCAAACTTATATTCCAAATCCAGCTACCTCTTCAGGGTTGACTTGACTAAATATTTCTTTTGTCGTCTCTCGACACACGATAATACCTCCTTATAACATAGTAGGGTGTCTCTCGAAAGTCCGACAATACCTCCTTATAACATAGTAGGGCATCTCTCGACGCAGCCCTTGGACTCGGCAAAGTCCAACAATACCTCCTCATAACATAGTAGAGTAGACCACGAGCAACAATACAAGGATACAAGGAGCAACCCTCTACTACCCCGATTAAGAAACTAAAATCGAAACTCGACCTACTCGTCAAATCCAGCCCCAAGTCAAAATTCAAGGGACGTTAGGAGGAAGGTGAAGAGATATCCCAAGGAATTAACACCTAAAGGAAGATAAAAACAGACGAATGTTTCAAAGCAACTCATTGAAGAGTAAAGAAACTGTAAGATCTCACATCGGTTGGAGAAGAGAACGAAACATTCTTTATAAAGGTGTAAAAATCTCTTCCTAGCAGACATGTTTTAAAAACGTGACGGAAAAAGCCCAAAGAAAACAATATCTGTTAGTGGTGGACTTGGACCGTTACAAAACCCGTCCCTTCAGAAACAGGTAAGAAAACACCAAGCTACCAATAGATTATATGTATGATAACTAAAGGCTCAATCAAGTTTCACACAAGAATATGAAGTACATGAAGCATATTTCAATGCTCAATGCAAACCACAATTGATCACAGCTGCCAAAGCATTGAATTATCGCTCGGAACCCCATCCCGAACCCGATAAGCAATCCCGTGAAACAAAGTAAATAGTATTCTAGATGCCAAAGCATTGAATTATCGCTCAAACCCCATCCCGAACCCGGTAAGCAATCCCATGAAACAAAATAAATGGTATTCTAGATGCCAAAGCAATGAATTATCGCTCAAAACCCCATCCCGAACCCGATCAGCTGTCCCGTGAAACAAAATAAACAGTATTCTAGATGCCTAAGCCAGCCATCTCAGATCAGTAATGTATCAAGTAGACGAAATAAAGCGAAACGAGTACCTTCGAAATAACTTATTCATTAAAGAAATAAACATCATGATTCCCATTTAGCATAAATCTTAACTTAGAAAAGTGATTATAGTAAGTATTTACAGGAGAAACTGTCAGAGAGGGAAGAAAAGAATAAGAACCAGGGACAGCGGTACGTCTTCTCGTTAAGCTCCGCCGTTGCAATAGTGGACGCCGTTGCTGTATGCATTCTTCGATTCTACATTTAGTCCCTTCACGCCCCAAATTCTAACTGTATGGTCATCGCTGGCCGATGCCAGCATGTGCGGGTTTGTAGGATTCCAGCTCACACAATTAACCGAGCCAGAGTGACCAGCCAGCGCTTTGATCAGCTCCCCGGATCCTCTGTGCCATATATATACCTACAAACAGCGAGGAAGAACGATCAATTAGGATATACAAAAGAGTATTTATATAGTTCATAGAAAGAAGAAACTCGAGATCCCGAAAGAGATTAGTGTTCTCATTTTAACTAAGTCATCGACGTCCTTCATTCGATGCCTTCATTTTAACTAAGTTCTCGAGATGTTAAAAGGACGAACGATTTGCCTACCCGTGAGTCCTCACTGCCACTTGCAATAAAAGCTTCCTCGAGTCCTCCAAAACAGGACCGAATAACAAACCGAGCCCGCTTATGACCTGTATACTTACATACAAGATTGGGTTCACCAACTAAGCTCCATAGATGGATTTCTTGATTCAGAAGATTAACCAGCAAGAATTTATTATCTTTGGACAGCTGAAAAGAAGTTATTGCTTGATCTTCTTCAATCCATCTATCAGTTTTGGTCTCCCTATCGAGAAGCAAAATTGCGGTTTCTCGGCATATAGTAATAATGTTCTTCCCGTCATCCGATATTTCTAAATCCGATATCTTCGAAATCCGTTGCCCTTTCCAAGAGTCCAACTCTCTGCCATCTAAATCCCACATGGAGATACTCTTGTCATTAATACCAGCAAGTATAGACTTCCCATCAGGAAACCATCCACATGAAAGCATCCCGAAGCCAGCCTTCTCATAAACATGGAGGCACTTGCCGGTCGAAACATCCCACCGCCTAATAACCTCCTCCACCCCACACGTTAGCAGCTGATTATCGTCGGGACTCCAAGAAATCAAGGAAACGGGTTTCTGATGGCCGGATAGTTTATGCTTTAAAGAGAACTTACCATAGGAGTTTACCTACAAAACAAACAAGTACACACAGAGATTAGATATTTGAACGCACGGGGTATTGGCCCGAGTCGCATGGTTAATATAGCAAAGGCAGAATGAAAGAGATAGTAATGAATAATAGAAAGCCCTCGTATAAAAGTTGGATCGGAATTGAGCATTTTTACCGAATAACTCTCAAGAAATTGGTTGTGGAAACTAAATTTTCAAGACGAGGCAAGTAATTTTTACCGAATGCTATAAGCTCAACGAGCGTAGTTCTAAAGAAAATGAATACAGGTTTGCCTGTTGTCACCTTAGATTAGCTAAGCTAAGCTAGGCTAAGGGGTTCATCGACGGACCTGAATACTTACCGATATTAAAATCCTATAAGTTTTCCGGTACAATACGGTCAACCTATTGTCACCTTAGATTAGCTAAGCTAAGGTGTGCTTCAACCGACCCGAATACTCACAAAGATCATAAAAAAAATGTAAATATTTCTCGATTGGGGTGATCGGGGTTATACCTCCCATATGATTGCAGATAGATCACTAGATGATGAGGCTAAGAACTTCCCATTATGAGAAAATTGCAAAAACCAAACTTCATCACTATGTGCTTGTAATACCTGTCCGAAAAAAAAACTAAAGTTTAGCCAAAGAGGATAATAGCTCGAATAATTATTTAAAATCTCACCTGAAAAGTTTGAGAAGGTATCTTATGTTTCCCACAATCATGATCCATATACAAAGACATTTCTTGATCCGAAGCGTTGTGATAAACACAAGAGTCTCGTTGCAACAAAAGAGCCTGTTCGACTAAATCTTCCAACCTATTTTCAGGTATCATAATCGCCGGTGGAAGAAGTTTCTGCAATTCCTCGAGCAATTTCGTCCGAGACTTACCTCTCGAATTCTCTTCACCGATTAAACCACTCCGTGAAGGAGACATAACAAAGGATGAAAGTTCATGTATTCTATCAATGTTAATAGAAAGTGGAGCAATCTCAGTCCTCAATGTCTTCAAAGCTTCCATAACCTTATCAATTTCCAAAAGCTCCAAATATTTCTGTTCTAATATCAAAAAACAAGCAGATTTAACCATGTTTTCATTGGATAAACCAAATTTATGTAAGGTTTTAATGCTTTCATCCCAATTTCCATCAAGAATTTGCTGCATAAATATATTTACAGACGAAGAACGCAACGGTATACCGGACTCTTCTTCGAGACGAGCGCTACTGTTCTTGTAACCGAGAGAATACAATGCATTAGCAATTATTCTCACGAACTCATCTCTTTTAATCACTCCTCTGGATCCAATAACCTTGCCATTGTCTCCTTCAGACGGTAGGGGTCTAGCCATTAAGTCCTTGGAAGAACCGTTGGAAAGAGCCCTAAACTCAGTAGAGGCTAGTTTCATGCGTTTCGAGGCTGGTTCTTCATCCTCCACACTTCCCATGAAAGGTGTAGCTCAGTCCATATATATATATAACTATATAAAACGATCCGCCATTAAAGGAAAGCTACAAAGATCTTAAACAATGAACAAAATTACAAAAATGCCTAAGACTCCGATTACTTTGACTTAAAAACAAGCACTATTTGAAGTTCATCAAACAGATTTCCAGCACTTCCAGTGAATCAAGCAATCTCAACAAATCGAAGATCCAAACAAGAACAAGGAATTGGAGTATTCAACCAAATCAATCAAAGATGAAGTGTGAACTAACCGATGATCGAAGGCAAGATTCTCAAAGATAAAGCAATCCCGCGAGCAAAGGAATATGAAGGGGAATTTAAGAGGAGGAGAGAGCAATAATGGAGGAGGATAAAAGAAGGAGATGAAGTGTGGAGGGTCAAAATTCATAAAATATTTATTGGAATTGATGATTTGGGATATAGAAAGGGAAGAGTCGGTAGCATTTTTGTGGGTTGGAGCTTGGGAGAGGAGCTCACTGGGTTTGGCTTTGCTTTGAGGAAACCGCATCAAAAGGTTTTGGTGTAGACTGCGAGAGAGACTTGGAGACGCAGAGAGGAATGGGAACATGGCCGCCATGGGAGGCCTGCTTCTTCTTGGTTTGGGCCTTCGCATAAATGGTCGGTGTTTCTGCGTAATGAAGCTGAATTTAAGGGCTTCCTGTTCTGTTTTCTAATTAATATATATATATTTTTTTTTTAAATTTTATATCTAATAAATTTATAATTTTTTTATTATTATTTTTTATCATTAATTAAATTATATATCATCAACTAAAAGGTAAAAAAAAACACAAAAATATTACAAGTATACCTTAGCTAATAATAATAATAATAATAATCAAATTAATATTGTTCAAATGTAATTGCTCGAGGCCGCCATTGATAGTAGATATCATTCATTTTGGTCTATTACATATCAACATTTATCTCACGATTTAAAAACATGTCTACTAGAGAAAGGTGAGAGATCCTTAAACGAATGCGTTACATATCACCATCAATCTCACGATTTAAAACGCATCTACTAGAAAGAGAGGTTCTCACACCCTTAAAGGAATACTTCGTTTCCCTCTCCAACCAATATGAGATCTCACATTCCACCCCTTTTGGGTTTCCCTCTCCAACCAATATGAGATCTCACATTCCACCCCTTTTGGGCACCCGTCAGGTGTCTAGCTTTAATATAATTTGTAACCACTCAAGCCCACCGCTAGTAAATATGGTTTGCTTTGGCCTGTTGTTACATATCATCCACAACTTCACGACTTTAAAAGACGTCTATTAGAGAGAGGTTTCCACACCTTTATACAATTCGTTCTACTCTCCAACATATCTGGAATCTCGGATGAAAAGTAGATCTAATATAAAAGAAAAAGGAGAAAAAGGAGAATTAAATGGAGACTGAGAATTTTATTAATAGCAACTTTGAATGTCAAGAAAGAAGAAGCAGCTGAAGGAGGAAGTATTTACAGAATAACAGAGGCATCAGTAAAAGGAAAGAAATAGTGGATACAAATGGGTGTGAATTTGTATTATTCTTTCTTCAGGATGTTCCTCTATTGCTACAATGGACGCCATTACCATTACCATTACCATTACTACTACTACTGTGTTGTTCATTGCTTTTGGAGTTGACAACATCCAAATCCAGCCCTCTTAGGCCCCATATTCTAATCGTATGGTCGTCACTGGCCGATGCCAACATGTGAGGATTTGCAGGATTCCAACTCACGCAGTTTACCGACCCTGAGTGTCCTTCCAATGCCCCTACAACCTCCCCTGTTCCTCTCTGCCATATGTATACCTGCCACAATCCATACACCATCCATCAGCCACAATCAAACCCGAATCAGAGCTCAAACTACGACCGTCCGACTGCCCGACCTCAAACTACCCCTACCGAAACGATTTCAAATCCAAAAGAATGAATATCAACGAACGACGCCTGTAGAGAAGCATAGAACCTCACCTAAAAGGGAGAGATCATAAGGATCTTCTCGATCCCGTAACACGCCACAACAATCCCAACCAAGCCCACAACAACGACCGACCTCAAACTACCCCTATCGAAACGAATTCCAATCCAAAAGAATGAATATCAACAGACGACACGTATAGAGAAGCATAAATCCTCACACCCACAAAAATAGAAGATCTTGAAGAAGGAATACAATCCTAAAAGGGAGAGTTCATAAGGATCTTCTCAATCCCGTAACACGCCACAACAATCCCGACCAATATGATCGAGGTCAGTCAGTTAAACCGTAGGGAACCTTGTAGAAAGACATTCACTTCATCCTCAAATTGAGCAATAAGAAGGCAGATATGCAGATATGTATTATACTTCTTCGTATGTTCTATTTAACTAATATCAAAATGTTAATAAGACTAGAATTATAAGTTAAAAGGACGAACTAAGAACCGTACCAGTGAGTCCTCACTACCACTTGCAATAAAAGCCTGGTCGAGCCCTCCGAAACAGGACCGAATAACAAAGCGGGTGCGCTTGTGACCTGTGTATGCTGTAACAATCTCAACCTCGCCTTCTAGATTCCACAGATGGATTTCTTGGTTCAAAAGGTTTACAAGTAAGAACTTATTATCCCTCGACAATTGAAAAGATGTTATTATTTGATCCTCTTCGATCAACTTATCGACGTTTAACTCCCTGTCGAGTAGCAATATCGCAGTATCCCTACAGATACTGATAATTTTCTTCCCATCATTGGTTATTTCTAGATCAGAGATCTTCAGAGTTCTTTGGCCTTTCCAACCTTCCAACTCGTTCCCATCTAAGTCCCACATGCAGATACTCTTATCGGTAACGCCAGCAAGTATATGCTTTCCATCGGGAAACCACCCACAAGAAACCAGTCCAAGACCAGCTTTTTCATAAACATGGAGGCACGCACCCGAAGCGACATCCCAACGCCTGACAGCTTCCTCCACCCCACATGTGAGTAGCTGACTGTCATCAGGACTCCATGAGACCAGAGAGATCGGCTGCTCGTGACCTAACAGTCTGTGCTTCAGAGAAATTCTTCCATTCAAGCCTACCTAAAAACAAAAATGAGGCAAAGAAAAAAAAAAGAAGAAAACCCTTAGACCTGAAAGCATCAATAAAAGAGTGGATGTTAGAGTGAGTGCAATATAGCTACCTCTTTTCTTCCACACACACACACAATCGATAAACTAATTCTACGTCGTCATTCTTGAGAGAAAAATTTAAAGCGATCACCATAATTACCTCCCATATAATTGCAGATCGGTCACTGGAAGACGAAGCTAAGTATTTTCCATTGTGAGAAAATTGCAAAAACCAAACCTCATCGCTATGATCTTGTAACACCTACTCAGATCGAAAAAATTAAAAGTTTCAGCTAACAGCAGAAAGAAACGACCCGCACAGTTACAATTTTTTCCCTTAAAATGAAATAATTATATTAATACAATATGAGAAGATAAATCTTGACAAAATAGTGTTATATATATATATATATATATATATATACACACGTGTGTGTGCGCGTGTAATGGAATTGGATACCATTCAACCTAACCCAAACAGTTCTAAAGAAATATTTCTCACCTGTAAAGTTCGAGAAGGAATCTGATTTTTCCCACAATCATGATCTCTATATAATGACATCTCCTTATTTAAGGCGTTATGGAAAGCGCAAGCATCTCGTTGCAACAAAAGGGCACGTTCAACTAAATGTTCCAATCTTTTTTCCGGTATCATAAGAGATGCAGGAAGAAGTTTCTGCAATTCCTCCAGTAATTGTGACCGAGCCTTGGCCTTTGCACTTTGTTGGCAGGATGAGTCAATTCGAGCCCTCATTGACGGAGAAACCAAGCAGGACGAGAGCTCACGAATTCTGCGTTCATTAACGTGATATGGAGTAATCTCAGTCCTCAGCGTCTGTAAAGCTTCAGTGACTTTGTCCCCTTCCAGAAGCTCAAAGAACTTCTGTTCTAATACCAAAACAGATGCCGCTTTGACGACACTTTCATCTGATAGACCAATTTTTTGCAAAGTTTCAACACTTTCATCCCATTTTCCATCATGGATTTGCTGCATAAGCACGTTTACGACCGGAGAATGTAGCGGTATCCCGGACTCCTCTTCTAGATAAGCACCAGTTTTCGTATAACCAAGAGAATACAATGCATTGGCTATAAGCCTCACAAACTCTACTCTTTTGATCACTCCCTTCGAACCAATAACATCACCATTGTCCCCTTCGGATTGTAGGGGGCGAGCCATCAAGTCTCTTGAAGAGCCCCCTGAAGGCTCGACCACAGATGAACCGTTCGATAGTCCCTTCAATTTGTCCGGCAATATCTTCATGCGTTTGGAGGCTGGTTCTTCATCCTCTAAACCTCCCATGAAAAGTTCACCTCAGCCCATATATAACTACGATGAATGGATAAACAGATATTTTCGGAATCAAAAAACGTCCCGAATAAATTCCTAACTCACTACTCCACAATGTAGCCAAAGAAACAATCATAAAACTACAATAAATCAAATTGAGACGCAAGAACATAGTAAAGAACTTCAAACCAAATCCTGCTTTTCAACAACAACAATAAAAAAAAATTTAAAAAAAAGAAAACATTCCCAAGAACCGCAACTTCAAGCGCCGTATATGAATCTAAAGACATTTCAATCATCCAGCAAGATCAACTTTTACCACTTTCGTTAAGTAGATTTACAAAATGCAATCAGCAGTGAACTACATACCGAAAAAGAGAAGAAACGACGTCGTATTACTAAAGCAAACATAAGCAGAGTCAAAACACGACTTAGCGTAATCTCAAACCTGATTAATCAAGAACCAACGCAACACTAATCCCGTTGGAATATCATTTTGCGATCAATCAAGTAGTTAGCAAAATTCCAACGCAAACACATTACCGACAGAGAATCAAGAGAAGAACATACCGTATCATAAAATCTAAAAACAAAACAAAGAAATTCAACAGAAGAAATGGCGACATACCGATGGTCCAAAGCAAGATTCTCGCACAAGAAGCAACCGAGAAATTTCTTTTTAACGAAAAAGAAAAAGAAAATTCAAGAAGACGGAAAGAGTTCTCGGCGGTTGAAGAGAGAAAAAAGAATCGGAAGAAATTGGGGAATCGGATTTGGAAATTGAGGGTTTGGTGGAGATGATGATGAGATGATGATGGGTTAAAGAAGAGTTGAAAGAGATGATGGCGAAGAAATATAAAAGAAAAATCACAGAGTGGGTTTGGCTTTGCGTGGAGGAAACCAACTCAAAGAGGGAGGGGGCTTTCCTTGTGCAGTGAGTGAGAATGAAGAATAGAATGGAAGAATTCCAACAAAATAATACAGTGAATGTGGCGAGACGAGATGAAGAGCCGTGGGCGCCATGGAAGTCAAGCTTGGGCCTTGTTTTGTTCTTCATTTGGGCCTCTCTAATGGGCCTTCTTCATGGCCCATTTTCATTCTTTGTATTTGTGATTCTTGAGTTCACTATTTTGGTTTTTACTTGTTTTTAGATGAGTAAAAAGAGATGAAACATGGCAAGCACAATCATACTATAATGGTTAAAGTAGCCGTGATTTACGAGCGTTGTTGATAACTCAAATCACTGCTAGTAGATATTATCTGTTTTAGTCCGTTACGTCTTATCGTCAACTTTACCGTTTTAAAACGTGTCTGTTAAAAGGCCTTGCATCCTTGCTAGCATATTTCCCGGTGTCTGGCTCTGATACCATTTTTTTTTAACAACTCAAGCCCACCACTAGTAGATATTGTCCACTTTGGTCTATTACGTATTATCAGTCGGTCTCACGGTTTTAAAACGTGTCTACTAGGGAGAAGTTTCCATACTCGTATAAGGAATGTTTTATTCTCCTCACCAACTAACATGGAATCTCACAATCCACCCTCTTTAGGGGTCAGCGTCCTCACTGATACAGTGTCTGGCTTTGATGTCATTTGTAATAGCCCAAGCCATCCTTAGTAGATATTGTCTGCTTTAGTCCTTACGTATCGTCGTCAATTTCACGGTTTTAAAACGCACCTACTATAGTATGAGAGAATCTAGCCTTACTCTGACCAGTGTCTCACACTGTTCAGTGACTATCTTATACCATTATGTAACGGGGCCACAACAGACAATATCTGCTAGTAGTGAGCTTGTGCTTGGACTGTTATAGTATTTCTAATAAACTTTGTCACTTATTGTTAAGGTAGAGCCGTGAAATTTAGTTAGTACTAAGATAAGATAGAACTGAACAACTCGACTTAGTAAGCGACCTAAACCGCCAATTGGGACTTATGTCTCACTCTATCGCTCTATAAAGCTCCGAATCAAAACGAATACAGGTAGCTAGTCAGAGGCTTTTGCTAATGCCATGTTACCTGTTTTGATTCCTTTGGTTGACACGTGTCAATTTCTTATTTGATTAAATAAATTCAAATTTATAAATTTTGTTAGGTTCATGAATTTCATAAAACAATCATTTTAAATATACATGTTTGCTCGTGATATAATTGTGTATACACATAATTATTTTGTTCTTATTTAATTTTTATTTATTTATTCTTCAACAATGATAGGAATCTTAATTAAATACTTAAAAATAAATAAATAAATATTTTACTTTTATTTTAAATAAAAGTTTAAAAAATGAACCAAATAACATAAAAAAAAATTATAATTAAATTAAGTTGAAAAATTTTATAATCTAAATGAGTGGGTTTAAAAAATATCTTAAATTCCTAAAAAAAATAAAAAAAAAATAAATATAAAATTTCAGAAGAAAAAGAAACACATAAATTTGAACTTAAATGGAACCAGATAGGTGAGATTAGTCAAAAGTTTATTAAATCCTTTACATCGCCACCGTTGGTTTCTAAATCGTTAGCCATCAGACGTCCTGCAATGATCCTCAAGCGAGTACGCCATTTTATCCCAATCTCGTGAAAGTAGAACACCCCATCCACCGGCCAACCTGCCCTAAGCATTAATTTCAGCCCAAACTTCCCCCAACTAGATCATAGGTACTTCATTATTAAATTCTCGAGCATATTCAAAGTACTTTATGGATATAAATACGATCTAATTAAGACATATATCATTCACTAGAAAACATTAAATATCTTGTATGTACCTTACAAATTGAATTACCGAAAAATTTTAGGTCGGGTTCAAGGGTTGTTTTCTTTTCACTTAAATATCATCTCGAGCGCCTGCACAAACACGATTGAACGTATTCAAATTTTATAATTTCGATCGTGTTCGTGGTTTGTCCTTCAAAGGCCTCCAACTATAACTTTAATGCACGTTTTTTTTCGGTATGTTGAATGATGCACTGTCTTCTTTGATTATATCACAACACTTGCTTGTCTAAGTGTCCATCCTCAGTCTCGTGTGCCCGAACAGATGTCATTTTAGGTCATTACGTTGTACGTGAAGATCATAATCTACTGTCTTCATTGTATGATTGTGAAACTCTCCCCATTTAAATTTTCACGAGCGCTCGGTCACACAATATAACTCAATAATTCATAATTTTTCATTTTTGTAATTACTTCTTGATTGCCCACTTAATTTCATCATTTAATTCCTCAAATATAATAATATAATAAGTTAAGATAAATAAATAAAAGGAAAATTAATTTAATGGAAGCACAATTCGCAGTCTATCCACAATTATAGAAAGGTAAATACATTTTTATTTTCCTTCCCTCGCTAACAGAAGTTTTTGGTGTTTCCATAGCCCTTCCATATATATATATATATTTGCCTTATTTTTTCATCATCATTTTCACTATCATTCGCTTTCTCCTTATTTCTGCTACGTTTCTCTCTCTCTCTCTCTATATCCGCAGTTGTTATTGGTTGCTGATTCTTCTCCGGCACGTTGCGACGTTTTCTGGCGATTTGCCGGTGAGTTTTTATGGTTTCGGTGATGTATGTGGTGATTTTTGCTCATCGCTTTGTTTTGATTGATGTTCTTTTTTCAAACGCGCGTTTCTGTGTTATTTGTTATTTTGTTTTAATGCGTGTTGTTGATTGCGTTGTTTTGTGCTTAATCTTTGTTTTTGTTTTGTTTTATTTAGTTTGGTTGATTTCTTTTGTTGCTGCGTTAGAAATTGATGCCGAACTTCCTTTGCGGAACTTGCTGATTGCCGTTGACGTTTTTTGGACGATCTTCTTTGTGTTTTGATTTTCGCGATGAGTGTAAATATGAATTCTACTTGTTTATTTCTTTCATTTTTCAGTGTGATCGATTGCTTTTGTCGCTGCATTAGAATTTGATGTTCGACTACTTTTGTGAAACCGGCTGATTGCTGGTGATGTTTTTGGACTATTTTCTTCGCGTTTCGATTTTCGTGATTAGTGTAAATTTGATTCTATTTGTTTATTTTTTTTTTCTTTTTCAGTGTAGTTGACTGCTTCCGTCGCTGCATTAGAAATTGATGTTGGACTGTCTTCGTGAAACTTGCTGATTACTGATGTTTATGGAGGATCGTCTTCGTGTTTTGATCTTCATGTTGTGTGTAAATTTGAATTCCACCTGTTTATTTCCCCCTTTATACAATGTGATTGATTACTTTTGTTGCTGCCTTAGAATTTATAAATTCATGTCTGAATGTCTTTGTGAAACTAGCTGATTGTGTCGATGTTTTTGGAAGATCTTCTTGTTTCAATTTTGGTGATTATTGTAAATTTGAATTCTACCTGTTTATTTATTTATTTCTTTAGCGTGGTTGATTGCTTTTTGTTGCTGTTTATGTTGGACTGCATTTGTGAAACTTTTTGATTGCTGTGATGTTCTTGGAAGAATGGTTTTTGTAATTAGTGTAACGTAATTTCTACATATCGTGTTACTCTGAACTTAATTCACAGTTTGTGCTCGCTTGGTTTTGTCTTTCAGTTCCTTTGTCATGTTGAACTCTACCTGTTGTGCTTAATCTGTGTTTCTTTTGTTTTTGTTTTTTAAATTCATTTACATATATTTTCAGTGTGATTGATTGCCTTTTGGTTTTTTCCTCCTATATTAGGAGTTTAAATTAGACTGCCATTGTTAAACTTGCTGGTCACTGGTCCTTGGCGATCTTCTTTGCATTTCAATTTTCATGGTAAGTGTAAGTGGGAATTTTACGTCCTGTGGGACTCTGAAGCTAATTCACGATGTTTCTGTTCGGTAGATTTTATCTTTCAGTTTCTTGGCTGAGGTTGTTATGTATTATTCATTGTGTAGAACTTCATTGAATTGCTGGCTTATGTTGGTTTAGGAGGTGCTCTGTACTATCAACCTGTGAACAATAAAATCTTCACATGTTCGTTTGTTTCACTTCAATGTTGATTGAGCTGATATGTTTGTGAACTATCAATTATATTGTAGTTCATTGAAACAAGCCTGTAGTAAACTTGTTAGGTGCACTCTCCTACTTAGGCAACTGTACATTGTATTTTGCATCATTTTATCTGACATCAGGCAAGAGAGTTTTTTTTTTTTTTTTTTTTTGGG